AAACATTCAAAAACAATGGTTTTCTGAAGAATTTGAGCTGCTTTCTGTATCCTTCCTGGTACTCTGAAGATTCTTGAAGGGGGTTCTAGTCAGGCTTCAACACTTTTTCTTTCTGGGACATGGCCCTCAGGGGGTCACCCACCCCCAAAATAAATATAATTGAAGGAGGGTGATCAGCCGTGGTAGGGTTGCAGCCAGTTGTATTTTTTTTAAAGCATAGGTCCTCAGGGGGTCCCCGGCCGCCAAAATAATTAGTTATACTGGATGAGACCCCCTGACATGGCTGCAGTATTTTATACTATGTTTAATTGTTCATTATCGCGCCACTGGGGCTTTCAGGGCAATTACTTGGTGTTGAATATGTTTCTTGCGCATTTGAACCTCCAGAAATGACCGCCAAGGTTCTTGTATGGAAAAGTACGCGACCAATTTTTGGCGTGAACGATCCCAAGCGCATCGCGAAAGCTGTGGTCAGGGCGGTTCGCTTGCAAAGCCGAACACCGCAAATTTTCGGATGCTATGTCAGAATGTCTTGCCTCTCAGCGGGCGGCTGCCCAGACAGATGCATCACTGGAAAGGACATGCAGTCCGACTATGAAGCCAGCACATTTCTGTGCCCAAAACATCTGCAGAACTCCAGATACGACGACTTGGGCATGCATTTGTTCCAGTTCCTGGGCTTGACCTGGTGTGCCGTGTGTTGGTTGTGTTAAGGTATGTGAGGGGCAAATGGTGGCTGAAGGAATTGACAATTACTTCAAATTAGATAAAATTAGTAAATACATGTATTTAATAAATATAACTATATAGAGAGAGGGGCAGATTGTAGGGCCGCCTTGTTGTCAGGTTCTGGCAAGCAGTCAGTCATGGACCGTGGGTGGCGTCGGCGGCGTTCACTCCAACTCAGTTGGCAGAGTCGCTCAATAATGGAATTGTGTTACTATTTTGTATTTTCTACTTTTCTTACTTTTAAACTTGGTGATCGTTGGAATCTGGACCCATCAGATCAGGAATGCTCTGACTGGGTACTATCTGACGTTGCTCATCATCCAAGACAGCTTTGAATTGGCAGGAAAGGAGTGGAGCAAATATTTTTTGGCGCAAGAGACTGGGACCAATGTCATTCTCATGACAGCTAGCCTTCTCTTGAGATTGTCTGCTTATCCGCCAACTGCAGTTTTTGAACCAGCTCTTTGTATGGAGGATTGCATCGAGTATTTTTTTGGATTGCTGAAAACCATCAAGAGAAACACAGGGTCAGTGACACTGGCATCGGCTATCCAAAGTGCTTGCTTGGTCCATGTGCGGCAACAGCGGAATCTGCGTAAGGCCAATCTTTCCAGACATGCCCATCCATGTCCATCCTGTTGAAAAACCGTTTTCCCAAAAAGGATGCATACTAACAAAAAGAACACAATCATTATCGCCAGGCGGCATCGCAGCGGACGCTTCCAAGCCCTATCAATTTGGCACCCTTGGCAGACAAGGCTTTGGACAACGTGTGCATTTTGGCCAGTGTTTGCTCAGTCAACCGACGGGCTTCTGACATCAAAGCCGGCTTGTGCAGTTGGTGGGCTTCAACAGGGCGGGAACTGCTGCTCAAGATGGCAGAGGATATGGCTGAGGGTGGCAGTTATATAAGTATGGGAAATGACTTGCCACGTTGCCAGCCTGAGGTTGACCCCTGTAAAGGCTGTCCTGGTGAAAGCACAAAAGGCCGGTGAGACAGAGGTTGCTTTGACCAAGTTCGTGCCCAAAGGCAAGAAGGCGCCCAGAGCTGCTACTGAGGCCGTGGGCACTGAGGACCCCCCTTTCTATCCTGTCGGCTTTCAATCAGCTCTTGCGGAGAGGAAATCGAATATGGAAGCGAAGGGCCTCCAGACCGAGCTTCCAAACATGTCCAAGGAGGAGAAAAAGGCTGATCGAGAGAAGAAAAAGCTTTTGAGCCAAGCCAAGCATTTGCTGAAGTGAGAGCTGTCAGAACGAATTCAAATCGAATCTGAAGTACCAGCTGAAAGCTGAAATACAAACAAACTGTTTTTTAAAGACAAACACCCAACGGCCTCCAACAAACCCTGCCAGTTTAATGTGCATTATCGCTTTGCCGGCTACCAGATTCGGATTTCACTACTTCAGAACTTGAACTTCACATTAAAGATTTGTCTTAACGGTAACGGTTACGATGTCAGCACAGATGTGACATGTGACACTCCTTCCCCACTTGCTTCACACTTGCTGATGGCATTCAAAGCAAGCAGTAAACCTGACACGTGTTAAACATATGTTGTATTCTTCGCTTGTCCTCGAGGAATTGGCAAATTCAATCATTTGACACAGCAAGTTTGCAAGTGCCAATCCTTGTCTAATTCAGGGGCGAAGTTTGAAAGTCGCGCTGGCGCTCGTTGCGCTACGTATACGCCGTATACACATATGGAAAGGTTGGCGGTTAGTAGGCCGAGGGTGACATGTTGTTACTGCGCAAGTTTTTCTAGCAACCACTGCAACCACCGTGTATATTTGTGCATGTATTTGCGTCTTCAATGGTGTCTGTGTGGTTTTTGGTTTGTTAGCTTTGCAACCGCAGACCAGCAAACAATCTCTGCATGCCCATTGGTTTGAAGCCGGTGTGAAGGCCATCGCACCACGATCATGACTCAGACAATGGGTCGTGCTTTTCCATGCTTCTCAGGTCGGACGAAAAAACTGTCGGACGTCTTTACAAGAGCTGACACTAGTTGCTCAGGAGTTGTTTTTGAGTTTTACGAGATAGTGCTGAGAATGTAATTTCGTGGCATTGCGGTTGACTCGACACCGGTTCTTTTTGATTTTTTTGCACTTCATTTTCTGAAGTCATCCACTGACCTCGGCTGAGGTTTTCGAATGGTGGAACCTGCTGAAAACTGAAAGCTGGATTCTGCGGAAAAAAGTGGGATTGTTCATCGGCGCACGACCGTTTTCCTTAGACCTTGCCGAATATTTAGGCTAGGGTAGAAGAATATTGCGCATAGACAGCTTCTCCAGCGCTAAAAAAGAAAGACAACTAGCCCAACACAAGTTGTGGGCTTTACACTTTTCTCCTTTAATGCAGGAGTTGCTGAGATTTAGAGTTGTGGTTCCTGAGGATTGATCTTCCGGGGGTTCTGAGATTAGATCTTGCCAAATCAGTCTAACCCCCTTTCCGGGGCGCGTTGATTGCATTCCCCGGAAGCAACAATACCGCCAGGAGGCTAGAAAGCCCCTGCCTCCTGGCGCCAACCCCGGTGCTTCACCCTATAGTCTAAAGCCGCACGTCACTATTTGTGAGGGGCTCGTGGAGACTTTTGCCCTAGATGCTACAGACCTTGCCGATACACCTGACAAGAAAAAGAGGGTCAACGTAAGTCTGGAACAGGAAGCAGCGCAGCTGCAAGATGCCCTTGTGGTATATAGCCCGCCGAAAAAGCGGGCTAAGCCAGGCAGACCGCCAGCCGGCACCAGCTCGCCTTTCAACCTAGAGACTTTCCTTGAGCAACACCGGCCAGGAATGTATAGGTTCCTCACAGAGAAAGAAGCGTGTGACAGGCTGCCATCTCGCAAGAAAACAGATCCTGGCTTTATGGAAGTAGAGATGCGCAAAAGGCCCGCCCAATGCTTGTGCTGCGGGACCTACTTTCATCTTCCACATCTCACCAACAATGTGGCGCTGAATCTTCCTTTTCACTTGGCAATTTTTATACAATGTTTAAGGGCTGGTGCGGGCTCTGGAAAATATGGGAAATTATTTTGGTGGCGGGTGGGTGGAGTGAAACCTACTAGATAATTCTATTCTTCTACTGGCTTGGCAAATTTAGGGGGTTGTGTGTGTGGGGGGGGTTCTGGAAACTATTTTGGTGGTGGTTGGGTGGGCTGAAACCCTTTAAATATTTAATGATATTTCTACAGGGTGTTGAGGGTTCACATCCTTGCGCTCAGGAAATGCCATGAGGAGAGCAAGGTACACCAGCAGAAGCTCCCACTGTGGGACGCGCAATCTGGATGCAGGGCCGAAATCAATGAGGTGTGCAAGGGTGTTTGCTTGTCAGAGAGCCCTTTCTCTGCTAGTTTGATGGGTGCGAGGATGGTGGAAATGCAAATGTGGATTGACAGCGGATGCATTGGCCTGTCGCCTTCTCTTCTGGATTCGATTTGGGTGGAGCCTTAGACTTTTCTATGCTTTTCCATGCTTTTCCTGACTTGCTCAATCTTTTTCCATTTCTTTTCTTTTCTCCAAATCGTTGTTCGCGATTGTTTGAAAATGTTTAATTAAAGATATATATATATATATTTATAGATGTTTGAAGCATCCATAATCTGATTAGATCTTAGATTTCAGAATGCCAACGGATTGCTAGGAAGTCGACAGAAGCAATCGCATATGGATCCAGCACACCCAGTGCAAAGAATCAAGCGTTCCAACCGGGTTTGCTCCTTGCGAGAAGTGCCGCCGCCTTGTTGATTCTGGCAAGTTTCCCTGCATAGCTTGAGAACGTTTGCGTTGTTTGCGTATGTTTGCGTATTTGTGCTGGAGTGGAAACCCATGGAAATCCATAAAATCAAAGTTTCATGTTATTTCTGATTATTTCTGACTGTCATTACCAGATATTTCCAGGCTGATGAATCTGATTCTTACTTGGGTTGAGCGCATTGCATGGGTGGATCTAGTCCACATCACTCTACGCTGTGACCAGCAAGCCCAAGAGCTCCAAGCCAAGTTCATGCTTCAGGCCTTCCCAGACCTGCAGTTCAACAAGCTAGATACCATCAGCTTTTGTGACGCCTTGAAGACCATCAAGACAATTATGGTGTGCTTGCCCAGGAAATTGATGAGGCCGTCCCTGGTTCGCTATCTTGACTGCAGGCTGAACTACCTCACCCCAGGTGTGATCGTTGGTGTTCCGGCAGAATCGCGTGACAAGATCAATGCCTTTGCATCTGCCATCATGAATGGCAAGCTCACCAGCACTGAGATCCGCGTAGCAGCAAACTACCTGTGCTTAGAAGGTTTTAAACACGTTGTTGTGTTGTGTCTCTCTGTCTATTTGTGTCTATTGATTTCCAAGGCATTTTGTGTGTCCTCCATTGTTGCCATAACTTTCTTATACTTTCTTGTTCTATGTGGCGGTCATTGGCGGTCCAAGGATTTGATTCTGAGTGGTGGCATGCGGGCTGATCAAGATACCCGTGTGTTGGTCCCAGCACTTCTGGAGAAGGCGAACAAAATCTCCAGAGGCAAAGTGCTTCGATCATCAACAAGAAACACTGCGCACATTTGCCCGGCTGGGATCCAGGACTTTTCTGATATAGTTTCTATTGCTTGATCTTTTATGATATGTTATTTTATTTCATGTTCATTTTAGATATACTTAGCATCACTTGGCATTATGTATGTAGTTATATGTAGTTATACTGATGAGTATGTGAGAGTGGCAGGAATTGGGGTATATTCTGGGTCACAGAATGAAGAACCAAGAGCTTCTGCGCGCTTTTGGCATACCGCGACAAGCGGTGAGATCTTGGTATGCAGTACCTCTTGTTGCGCCTGGTTTGCCAGACTTCTTCACTGCAGAGGGTGAGCGCTTAGTTCAAAGCGCTGCCAGCGCGTTGTCTTGCCTTCAGCTTGAAGGCACTGGCAACTACATGTTGATTCGGGACGAATGCGTCTTCTCGCAGTCGTTCTCTCTCTTGTACGGCTTGCTGGAGAACCCGAAGGATCCAATAGTTGTGGGAGGTGTCCACCCGCAACACTCCCGACTGCACCCAGAGGCTCTCGAAGACCAGAAGTCAGAAAACTTAGCCCCTGTGTCAGTCTGCACAGTGGTGAAGGCACTCGATCGCCGCTCGGATTGCTTCCTCATTGAGATGGTGCCCAGGAGGCACAATGCCAGTGCCATGGACGAGCTGCAGGCTATGGGCAGATTGGTTGAAAGCTGTATTGAAGGCAACCATGGCATCCCACCACTAGCCCTTGCGACCGACAATCACAAGAGCTTTGCCATGATCACCCGAGCATTGCTTGGAGTCCTACCTCCTTCACAACTGGCCGAAGCCACCTTTTGGAAGACCCTCAGATAGATTCAAGCATTTTTATATAATTGTTTTTTGTGGGGTTTGGTTTGTGGATGGAGGTCCTTTTTGCGCTTTTCTAGACTGGGCCTATAGACATTTTGATACATTTTGCATACTTTATTATACTTTGGAGCCTTCCAATTTGACCAGGGACTGCGAACCACAGGGCAAGACTAGCATTCCGCTATTCCCATTTCAGGCTTCTTGGCTTATCCTGAAGATATATATATATATAATTATATATATATATATTTATTTGGAGGGAGGGTGCCATGTTTCTGGGCCTAGACATATTTTATCATATTTTGAAGCCAAGGGCACCAACCCACAAAAGCCCCAACAACATCTTTTTCAGCATGGGCCCTCAGGGGGTCACCCACCCCCAAAATAATTACGAGTGGTAGTGGTGGTAGTGGTTGTGGAGAATGCTAGTCCCAACACAGGTACATAGTACTGTGATTGCATGTGATTGCCATTAGAAAATAGCAAAAAATAGTAAAAAATACAAAGCCATGCAGGAATTATCAAAAAAACATTCAAAAACAATGGTTTTCTGAAGAATTTGAGCTGCTTTCTGTATCCT